TATAATTGTTCCATTTAATTATTAGTTATTGTTGTTAATCTCTTAATTTATAAATTAAACTTTATCATAGGTATGTATGTATAGGACAAAACATTGTATATATATGGTTTGGTACTATCTGTGGCTTCAGACATCCATTGGGGGGTCTTAGAATGCATCCCCTCTCACCCCCATAAAGGGCGATGCCTGTATAGTAGTATTAACTATAGCCATCATGCTGTACATTACATCTCCAGGACTTATTTTATAACTGGAAGTTTGTACATTTTGACCATGTTTACCCATTTCCTGACTGTCCCCCCCATTGCTGTCCCTGAAAGCAATAAATAACCAGTTGGCAGTCACATTTCCCCATTACTCTTCTTTGCTTTTCTTCGTTGGTTAGACGATAGATCTGGGTCCCCAGGTCCCACTCACTGCCCTTCGCAGTCTCTGTAATGATCAAAGCCCAGGTCCACGAGACTTTCGGGATGTTTCTTGTATTTGGAGGTACAGACAGGGCCTGGGAATGTCCTGGTGTCGGTGCCCAGCCGAAGCATGTGTATCTAGACAACTCTGGATGGCAGCCCACGCCTCCAAGTGGGGAGGAGGTACTAAACATGCCCTAACGTACCCCCCAACACACACACGTCCTGGTCTTCTCACTCAATCAGTCCCTCTGCATCCTTGGTCACGGTCACAGCCACTGAGGAGGATGCAGGACTCACTGCTGTTGAGGGTCTCAGGGTGTCACATACAAGACAGAAGAGCGAAGGGAGTCCTGCCTTCCCCCTTGTGGACGGCGGGTTCTCTGGTGACTATTACAGAATTCAACGGTGTTTGTTTTACAATCAAACCTAGTGTTTAGCAAGAAACAAAAAATCCAGAATCCAGCCAAACACACCATTCCACGTATCCCCAACCTGAAAGCAGAATAATCTTGCACCACCCCATCCCAGCTTCCTCCCGCCATCAGCCCTTCCTCACACAGCCCCCCAGAGCCCGGCTTCCCTTAGAGGCTTCAGACTCCGCACCCCCGGGGTCTGAGCTCAGCAGCTGCTGAGACTGGTCCTGGGTGCTGCAAAGCACTGCTGGCCCTCATCACCTCATGCACCGGAGGACTCTTCCCCACCCCAGCCAGGGCCTCTGAGGTCAAAGGACGGCTGGGCACTGCTAGATTTTGAGGCTCCCGAAATGATATTTTTTTTTAAAGGAAAAAATGTATCCACAGGGCTATGTAAACATTGTGGTATATTTAGATGTACATATCAAACAAATTAACAAAAATGCAGGCTAATGCAGTTGTGCTTTCCAGGATATGATTATAGAATTCCTTGAAAGTTTCACTGATTTGTAACGCAGCTGCTCATGGTGGGTCCTGTCACAGATAAATGGAGGCATCCCCCTGTGGTTGGAGAAAGACTGGGCTCAAAAAGACCCAGCCAGTGGTGACGTCGTGGTCTGGAGGGTGAGGTCAGCTCAGAGGTAGCCTTCAGTATATGTTATTTGACTGGCAGAGTGTTTTTAAAAACTTTGAATCCCTGCCAGCTTTTAAAAATCAAGAGATTTCACACACAAGTGCAGACTTTTGGCTTCTTTTGAGAAATCCAGACCCGGGACACCGGGCTTACCTGTCCCCGTGGCACCACTTGGCTGGAGCCATTAGTATCAGCCCCTTTAGAAAAAAACCAGCCCCTGCAGGCCTTTAAGCTTGTGAAAGTTTGTTGGGAAAAAACAAGAATTAGATGGTCAGAGGCAGGGGACAGAGGGGCAAATCCAAGGGGAGCTGAGCAGGGCGACCTGGCCCAACGTCAGGGCTGGGTTGTGCCCTCATGGGCAGGCAAACCTGGCACGGCTCCACCAACAGCTCGTCACCAGGACTCTGCCCAGACCTCTGGGAAAAAGATTTCATCATGACAAGTGTATTCATGCTTCATGATCTGGTAAAAGGAAACTGGGGAGACAAGGGTACACATTTTGTGGAAGAAAAAGTTAACAGAGGGCTTCCCTGGTGGCGCAGTGGTTGAGAGTCCGCCTGCCGATGCAGGGGACACATGTTCATGCCCCGGTCCGGGAAGACCCCACGTGCCATGAGCCATGGCTGCTGAGCCTGTGCGTCCGGAGCCTGTGCTCCGCAACGAGAGAGGCCACAGCGGTGAGAAGCCCACGTACCGCAAAAAAAAAAAAAAAAAAAAAAAGTTAACAGAAAAACAAAATTGAGTCTTTTTTTGCATTTGGATTTGCGGGTGAGGGAAGTGATAACTGATGTTTTATGTACATTTTAAAGCTTATAGTCTCTGAATGTACAGGACACCTTTAAAGAAAAGCTGCTAAGCTTGGCTTTGCTTTGTTTACATCAGTGCATTCCAATTTTGAGCCATCTGTCATGTCTCCTCATAATAACCACTGTTATAGAGCTTACAAGATTTAAAGTCTTTCACTCACACGTGAACCAGCCAAATCTTTTCACGTGTCTCTGTACGTGTAAAGAAGATGTAACCAGCTAGGTTTTTTCCTAACATAAGAATTCTTATTGTCTTCTTTCCTGTTTTCAGAGTCAGAGTTTTTCCAAAGAAATAGTTGTTTCAGTCAAAGAAAGAAATGCCCTTGTCTTGAAACATTTTTCTCAGCTTCAGATCCATCATGCAAGCCCCAACTGATCGGAACCAATCAGTCCCTTCTTAAAAGGGCAAAGGCAAAAAAAAAAAAAAAGGGCAAAGGCACATGGCTCAGCCATGGTTAGATTCTTTCCATTCACTACTCCACAGATGTTCCACCCGCATTAGTGAAAATAAGTCCAACTCAAGTGGGGGAATGGTGAATGTTCTCACCTTGTACACTTGGCTGCTGTACCCTGGACCTGCCACCTGGTAGGCCTTGGTCAGTGTTCACCAAATGGCGAATGCAATCATGTGAGGGCACATCAGCTTTGAATATTGTGCTGCTGTTGAAATGCACCATTTTGACAATTACATAGCAATGTATAAAGTAGTTTTAAAATGTTCAAGTGTCTAGCCTGTGATGTTTCTTATAACCATGGACTAAATACTGGCAACTGTTCAAGCCTGGGTTAGTGTGGCAAAATGTAAACTGCTCTTGTGTTTGAAGTTTTTGTGAATTTTTTATTTCTTTTTTTTTTTTTATACTTTTTGGCCGGGCCACACAGCATGTGGGATCCTAGTTCCCCAACTAGGGATCAAACCCACGCTCCCTGCAATGTAAGCGTGGATTCTTAACCACTGGACCACCAGGGAAGTCTCTCATTTCAATTTTTAATGTATTTTTAAACACTGGTTTGTTTTACAACAATAAAGTTTACAGTATAGTTTCCAATATTGTTACCAAACTGAACTTGTGTCTACTTGCCCTACGTGCCAATCTAATGACACCAGGTGTGGTGAAGAAAAATGTAGTGTTTATTTCAGGGCACCAAGCAAGGAGAACAGGTAGCTCATGCTCAAAAGACCTGAACTCCCCCTTGGCTTTCAGGGAAGGGTTTTTAAAGGCAACATTGGGGTAAGGGTTGCAGCTCACGGACTTCCTTCTGATTGGTTGGTGGCGAGGTAACAGGATGATGTTTTCGGAGTCAACATCATCAACCTTCTCGTTCCAACTGGCCTGGAGTCTATGTGCTTATGGTCAGCAGTTTCCATCTGATGGGAGTTTGGTTTCTGTAAAAACCACTTAGGAATGCAAGTCTGACATTGGTATCTATGTCCTTCAGGGAGGAACTAAAGGTCCTATGACTCTGCTATATGACTGATCCATTATTTAAATTGTTACAAGTTCTCCAGCTGGATTTCTGTTCTTTGTCTCTGCTTGCTTTCACTCCTCTGACCATTAACCTTCAAGCCAGATATTTTGAAACTCCAGTAAGGTTCAGTGGACTAAAGTTTTTCTTTCTTTCTTTTTTTTTTTTTTTTGCAGTACGCGGGCCTCTCACTGTTGTGGCCTCTCCTGTTGCGGAGCACAGGCTCCGGACGCGCAGGCTCAGCGGCCATGGCTCACGGGCCCAGCCGCTCCGCGGCATGTGGGATATTCCCGGACCGGGGCACGAACCCGTGTCCCCTGCATCGGCAGGCGGACTCTCAACCACTGCGCCACCAGGGAAGCCCTAAAGTTTTTCTTTAAGCAAGAAATAGAGAACACAAAGGAGTCTGTTACCAAGAGAGCCCATCCAGGGATTGCTCCCTTTCACTCCTGAACCCTCTGCCAAAATTAGTCCCCCCAGCTAATCACCCGCTGAGCGCCGGCGCCACGGTCATAAGGCTCCTCACACATCAGCGGGTAGGGAATATTTTTGACGGTGATACAGGTACAGGCGTCAGGACTCGAACTCCTGTCCTTAATGAATGCAACGGGAGGGGACAGATGCGCAGGGAGCCGCGCGTGGCCCTCTGGGAGATGTAGTTCAGCACCCTTCGCGCAGCCGCAGTCCCGGCCCTTGGCGGTACAGCCTTCCTCCTCCATTCCATGGAGCGCAGCAAAAGGGCTCCGAACCGCTCAGTCTCGCCCCGGGCGGGAGCGGGGCGACCAGGGAGATGAACGGAAGTGCACGTGCCGCCCTCTGGGAGATGTAGTTCGGCGCCCGCCCACCCAGGCGCAGTAGCGGCCCGTGGCGGTCTTGCGCAGGCGCAAGTTGGTTGGTGGCTGCCGTGGCCTTTGTCCTACAGTCCGGTGGGTAAGTGAGATTGGGGGTGGCAGGGGCTGCGGAGGCCGAGCCGGGAGCGGGTCCAAGGTCTTCTATGGGGCCCCGGCCCGGGTGTGTACCTAACGGCGCGCGTCTGTGTCTCGTCTCTTCTGCTGCTTTGGGCCCAGGGCGGGTCGCTGGGGGTAGCATGGGCGGGGCCGAGTGGGCGGGGCCCGGTTTGGGTAGGGGGTTGGGGGGTGGTCTCAGGGTCCGAGAGGAGGGCTTGGGGCAGGGGTTGGGTACTGGCTTTGGTGGAAGGCATTGGGGTCTCTGGCTTCGTGAGCATAGTAAGAGATTGGCTGGCCAGACCCTTCAGAGCCTGGAGCCAGCCTGACCTGCGTCCCTTCCCTTTTTTGGCGGGACGTCCAGGGTTTGGAGATTGGGTAAGGCCGAGGCCCCACCACAATGTCATCTCTGGAGCTTCACCTTCCTTAGGGACTTCTGTCTAAAGAATGAAGGAGAGGGAGAGCCAAAGCACCAGATTTTGATCCTAGTCACCTGGGACCCAGGAAACAGACTCATTGTATTAAAATCTTACTGAGCACCGACTGCATGCCAGGCACCATTCAGGCTTCATCATTAATTCAACAAGCAGGTATTTATATGTCCTGGGTGCCAGGCCCATCTTATATCCTAGAGCCCCCCAACATTGTCTCCACACTGGATGCCACAGGAGAGTCAGGGAGATGATGATAAGCCCATAAAACATCACTAAACAAGATAACTCCCATCCAGGAAACTGCAATGAAGACAACGGAGCACAAGCTGGATGGGGCAGAATCAGGGGTGCATAGGCAGGGTCGTCAAGGGACATTACAGAGAGAAGGGAAACACGTCCTGCCTTTGGCCTGACTTTCATTTTAGGCATTCAGCCAGGCAACGGCTTGTAAATCACTGGGAATTGGGCCGTGCACGTAGTAGATGCTAAACAGATGCTGACTGAAGCAAGAGTCTTCCCTCCCAGCAACAATCGCCTTCCTGTGTATTCTGCTGCCTGCTGGGCTCCATTTCCAGCCGTTTTCACATTTTAATTCCCATAAGCTCTGTCCTGGGTCACCACCATCATTTTATGAGAGGGAAGCTGACGCACACCATACAGTGCCCAAGACCCCCGTACTGTCTGGCTTTCTGTCACAGTAAGTCATCACCCTGGAAATCATCTGTGCAACCCAGACTGTGCTCCTTGCCCACCTGGCGGTCAGTTTTCCTGTGTGGAATGGGTAAGGAAAATTTGAGCTCATACTTCAGCAGTGCCTGGACTAGCACCTGGGTGCACAGCAGGAGCTCGGGAAATGCCAAGCTGAGGTTGCACTGCTGTTGAGTTTGGCCTGGGTGCTGAGCTCCTTCCACCTGCACACAGGGCTTCCAGGGCCTGGGGTTACTGGTCACCTGTCACTTGTCCAGTCTCTCACATCCCCTTTCCCCCTAGAACTGCCTGCCGAGGAGCTGGCTGTTCCTGCAAGAGGCCCAAGGAGGAGGGAATGACCGCTGGGCTCCTCACTGCCAGGGACCCGGTGAGTACACCACCACCTCACTCTCAGGCCTCCCAGGCTCTACCTGTGGTCCCCACCAGGCTCGTTCTGCCCTCAGGGCCTCTGCCCTCACCAGGAAAGTGCTTTAATCAGCTCCATGTCCTCCTCCACTTCTTACCTCACCACCTCCGAGAAGACCTCCTGGATTCCCCCCTGCTCCATGCCACCCTGGCAGACATGGTTCATCCATCCCACTGATGTGTCTGGCACTTTCTCAACACAGGGCTCTAGGTCTGTTCTCCCAGCTCACTCTCTTCATCCAGTCACTTGGCCAACCTGTACTGAGCACTGCTAATGAGCAGGCACCATTCCAGGCACTGTTCCAGGTACTCCAGGTAGAGGAACAGACAAGATGAGCAGAAATCTCCATCCCCGGGGGCTCACAGACCATATGAGGAATGTAAACCTGCCAAGCGTTGGGCAGGGAAATGAGGCCCAGAAGAGGGTGGACTTGGGGACCAGGCATTAACCAGTACAGCCCAGGAGGCCTCTCTGAGGAAGTGGCCCCCAAACAGACCTGCAAGAAAGGACAGGGTGAGACCAGGGCCCACAGGGAGAATGTTCCAGGTGGAGGGAACAGCATGAGAAAAGGCCTGGAGGTGGGAGCACGTGTGGCAGGAAGACTGAGAACCAGGTCTCCTAGGCCGGCTTCAGGGGCCTGGGGCCTTAGGAAGCAGTTCTGGCCATTTTGGCCACGTGCAAAGGCCCGGCACACAGTAGGTGTACAGTGAATTGGGTGAACAATGAATGTTTGGAACTCTGGTCAGTGCTGGACACATCACTCTGTTCAGCCCCCACATCAGTCCCACGAGGTGGGATGAGGAGGAGATCAAGACACAGGGGCAAGTCACGCAACTGGGAGTGGCTGAGGCAGGCGTGAGCTCAGGACCCCTGGCCTGGCGCAGACCACCTGCCCCCTGAGGTCCCCAGTGCCCAGCACACATCCTGCTGCGTTCATGTCTCCTCCTTCAGATCCCTGTGTGGCTGCCCAGCAGCATCCCCCCATTTTCTCCAGAGCACTGGCCTCTCCTGGGGTTTTCATTTTTGCCAGCTCCCCGACCCTGCAACTAGCATACAAGCACCAGGAGGCGGGCTGTGTTTGTCCTGTTTCCACGGCCTGAACGGTGACCTGCACCTAGGACTCCGCAGATAACCACTGAGCGAGACCTAATGAGTTTGGAAGGTGTGGAGCAAGCAGGGAGGGTTGGTGAGAGAAAATAAAATCTCCCCGGGCCCCCCAGCACAGCTGTTTGAACGGTGGGTCCTCAGGTAAACCACCCACTATGCACCGGGCCAAGGGTACACACTTCCTGTGAATTCCCTCACTCCTCCCAACAGCCCTCAGGGAGCTCCCAGTAACTTGCAGATGAGGGCAGGGAGGCACAGTGCAGTTAAAAGACAGCTGGTGCTGGAGTTTGAATCTCCATCATGTGGATCCAGGGCCGGGTCTTCACAGCGTCACCTCCCAGATGCCCAGTTCTGGTGGGAGAAATTCTAGCAGAGGCGGATTCTGCCTGGTAGACCAGGGTCCAGGATGTGGGCCACCTTGTGTGCCTCACTCCCACCCACATGGCCAAAGTCTATAGACCTTGCATCTCCCCTACCAGCCATCCATAGTGCTTGCTTCTGTGAGATGAAAATCCCTTTGTGGAGGATGTCTGTGCCCAAACCTCATGGGCCTTAAAGAAAATCATAAATTACTCACTTGATTATGGAAGAAACTGGCCTTGTTCTCTATATCTATGAGTCTGTTTTTGTTTTATTATATTCATTCATTTCTTTATTTTTTTAGATTCCACATATAGGAGATAATACTCAGTATTTGTCTTTCTCTGTCTCACTTATTTCACTAAACATAGTATCCTGCAGGTACATCCATGCCATTGCAAATGGCAAATTTTCATGACTGAGTAGTATTCCATTGTGTGTGTGTGTGTGTGTGTGTGTGCATGGCACATCTTCTTTATCCATTCATCTGCTGATGGACACTTAGCTGCTATGAACACTGGGGTGCATGTGTCTTTTGGAATTACTGTTTTTGTTTTCTTCAGATATATATCCAGGAGTGGGATTGCTGGATCATATGGTAGTTCTATTAACCCATTATCTAAATGTCCAAAGTTGAAGACTAGGAAACAGTCCTCAGGGGTCCTGCCACTGGAGACCCCCACCCATTTCATTTTCCTGGCCACTCTCCATTGGCTCTTTGTCTCCCCAGCCCCTCTTCTGTGTATTCAGGTGTCATTTGTGCACAGCATAGATTTGTCTGAGTGTGCAGCCTGGCAACTGCATGTATGGACACCAGTGGATGGTACAGCTGAGGCACAGGAAGTTCCTAGCCTCCCTGGGGCTCCCTCGTGCCCCTCCCTCAGTCGCTGCTGCTGTGACATCTCAGGGGTCCTTGTTTGTCCAAGGAGGAACCGATAGGAGGATGCGAGTTCCTTGCCAGCCCAGAACTTCCATTCTGACTCCTGGGGTGTGTTTTTCTCTCACTTGTCTTTCAGGGAGGTGGTTCAGCCACATGGCCAGTAGGGGGACACGTTGGACCCAGACTACCCAAGTTCAAATCCTGGCTCAGCCCTTTCTCCCTGGGTGATTTTGGGTGACTTCGTTGGCGTCCTCCCTGGGTGAACAGTGGTTGGATGTGATCACCCGTGGCCTGGGGTTATTAAGTGAGCAATCCACGTGCATCTTTCAGCACCATCTATGTGTTTGCTCTGAATTTTGTTTTTAAGGTTCACAAGTTTAAAGTTCTTAATGTATCAAAACCATGATACGTTTCATAGTGATTTCTAGGTTGATGAATTGGCTTATTTATTTTTTTAATAAATAATATCCCATAATGATATTCTCGTTATAAAAATGTCAAGCAGCACTTATAAAGTCCCCCTTGCTCCTCAGCCCCGTCTCCCAGGCTTCCATCTAAAGCTGCCACTGCTGTCACTTCCACGTGCCTCATTTTCCTGTGTTTATGTACACATTTTCAGACAAATATTAGAATTAGAGCTTTGTTTCCTTTTACATAAATGGCACTGGGCTGGCAACGTCCCACCATCCAGGATTTTTCCATCTGGAAGGTCATTCCCCAGCTGTGCCTATTAGTGCCCCCCATCTTATGCTTGGCTGCAGATTTTCCAGAACCTGACTTTGGCTGCTCTGCCACGATGGGCATCGAGGCCATTACCAGTTGCCTGTTATGACGTTGCAGCAGGGGAGCAAGGTTCTTGGGGGAAGGGGGAGATGGAGGGGAAGTGGAATTGCTGGCGTAACAAGTGTATGTATTTTTAAAAACCTGCCAATTGTGAAAGTAATCCATGCCTGGGTGCTAAGCCATCCTCTTCTCAGAAGGCCCAGACTCTCTGTCCTCTTGTTTGCTTTTTACTTACTGATTTGTCAGCTCTTTGCATGTGCTGGCCACTCATCCTTCTCCTTCCATTTATGGTGCAAATATTCATTCTGCTGTCATGGGTCCTTGAAGTGGCTTGTAATGACTTTGTCATCTAGAAGTCATGAATTTTGATTGCTGAATGTATTATTTTCCTGTCGATTCTGTAACAAATCCTAGCAAACTTAGTGGCTTAAAACCACACAATTTATTATTTTATGGTTCTGGAGGTCAGAAGTCTGTAGTACATCTCACTGGGCTAAAATCAAGGTGTCAGCAGGGCTGTGTTCCTTCTGGTAGCTCTAAGAGAGAATCCACTTCCTTGCCTTTTCCAGCTTATAGAGGCCTCCCACATTCCTTGGCTCCTGACCTGCTTCTATCTTCAAAGCCAGCTTTGGCCATTTGAGTCTTCCTCACATACTATTACTGTGAGGCTGACTTTTCTGCCTCTTCCCCATTGAAAGACCCTTGTGATTATATTGGGCTCACCAGGATATTCCAGGATAATCTCCTTATTTTAAGATCAGCAGACTAGCAACCTTAATGCCATCTAACCATCTTTTTTTTTGGCTGCACCATGGCATGTGGGATCTTAGTTCCCCGACCAGGGATCGAACCCATACCGCCTGCAGTGGAAGCACAGAGTCTTAACCACTGGACCGCTAGGGAAGTCCCACCATCTGCCATCTTAATTCCTCCTTGCCATGTAATCCAGGGATGGTAGTGACACAATTCTGCCTACCACACTCATTTTCTTCTTTCTGACTTTCAGTGTTTTATATTTTATTTGTGAAGACTTTCTCTACCACCCATTTATTAAATTCATGGCCTATACTTTTCCAACTTTTTCCTTTTTTATATTCATCTCTTTAATATTTCTGGAATTTATTTTTATTTATGGTGAGGTAGGGATCTACTGATTTTTCCCCCTAACAGAGGGCCAGTTGCCCTGGTGTGTCCATTGCTTTGAAATGCTCCCACTACCACACTGATTTTCTACATATACATGGATCTTCATGTACTTGAATTTAATTTACACGTGAACAGATTCTTAATAAAGTCACCCAGATTCAATCCTTGGATTTGCTGCTTACTAGCTTTATAACTTTGGGCAAGACACTTAAGCTTTCCCAGTCTCTGTAAAATGTGCTCGTGGCAGCATGGACCCTCTCATCTCTTAAAGAGGGCTTTGTTTCATTCATTATGTATGCATCTTGGACCCATCAGGATGTTATTTTGGCCAAAGGGTGAGGCAGGGAGCCAACCTGACAGTTTCCAGATGCTCCTTCCCCGCTGCCCAGACCCAGCTGCTTCTCGGAGGGGCTACCCACGCAAGCACACTTCCTGTGAACCCAACATGCCAGGACCATCCTCCCCTTCATTGATGACGCATCAGCAGCATTTCTCATTTCAAGAGACTCTTCTCCAGCAGGGTCCCAGGCCCCACAGTAAAAACCTGATCCAAATCCCCAGACCCTCCCACCCACTTGGCCAAGGCCCCCGTTCACCAGATGCTGCCACTAGCAGCCACGCCGGGGACACTGAGGACGCTCATGTGTGACGTTTCAGGAGCAAGTGACTTTTGAGGACGTGGTCGTGGAGTTCACCTGGGAGGAGTGGGGACAGCTGGAGCCAGCCCAGAGGACCCTGTACCGAGATGTGATGCTGGAGACCTTTGGGCTCCTTGCCTCTGTGGGTGAGGCCACCCCCGTGCCCCTGATGGTCTGCCTACAGTACAGATTCTAATTTTCCTGGGATAAAAGTGGGAGTAGATCTAGGCCATAAAAGCAAATACCTGGCCTTCAGGGACCTGTTTCAGTGCAGGGAATGTCAATTAGGATGTTTTGGTTGCAAATGACAGACCCTAGCTAACAATGCCAGAAGCAGAAAGTCATGGGGTAAGAGGGACATACCGGGTCCCATGACCACAGAACCCCAGGTAGACCTGGATCTTCCTATGGTGCTGTCGGGACCCCTCTGCTGCCCGCCCCCATACCCCTTTCTGCCTCCATTCGCAGACAGGGCCCTCTGAAGGTGACAAGACAGCTGAGAGGGTGCCTCTCCCAGGTTTGAGACCAGCAGAAGAGGCAGGCTCTGTGTCCCGGGCACCCAAAGAAGGCCCCTGGGTTGTCTTGGTTTGGCAGCCAGGTCCCCTCCAGCCTGGTCGTTGTTGCCAGCAGGCACGGGATGAAGCAGAGCTCTGATTGGCCACACCGGGGCCAAGGATGGGGTCAGGGACTGAGTGAGGGGAGGAGGTCCCTAAGGAATGTCAGAGGCTGTTACCACACCATGGCCTCCTGGAACACCAGCCATTTGGGTCCCGGAAGACTGAGGGTGGAGTGGGCAGAGGGGTGGGGAGGGTCCTGGGACACAGATGCTCACTCCATGGGTTTCTCCCTGAGCAGGACACTGGCTCCCAAAGCCGGACGTCATCTCCCTGTTGGAGCACGAGGCGGAGCTGTGGGTGGTGGACAAGGGAGCCCCCCGAGGTGTGTGCACAGGTGAGATGAAAACCCTGCAGGTCTGGGAGGAACCCATTCACCCCCCAGGTTCTCTCTCCATTTCTGCCCTGATTCTTCAGAGCAAATTAACTACTCAGTCTTTCAGGGAACATTCACCAAGCATCCATTTTGCTGTGAGTGAGACCAAGTTCCCATCTTCACTGAATTTACATTTTTGGTGAGGGAGAGGAGCACATGATAAATAGCTAAAATAATAATAATAACAGTGAACAAGATGATTACAGGTTATGATGAATGCTGAGAAATGGAAGCAGGGGATGAGGTAGAGACTAGGATTGGGGTGAGGACTGAGCAGAGAGATGAGGGCTAGCCTCTCCAAGGAGGTGGTGTGTGAGCTGAAGGCTAAACCATGAGAACAATGTGACCATGAGACAATCTGGGAGGACAGAACTCCAGGCAGAGGAAACAGCAAGCACAAGGCCACCAAGGCAGTGCAACAGCCAGCTCTTGCCATGTAACAAACACTCCAGCCTCAGTGGTTTAAACCAAAGAATCACTTATGACTCATGCATCTATGTGCTGGTGGATCCAGGCTGGGCTCTTCCATGTGCCTGTAGGTTGGCTGGGTAGTTCTGCTCTTCATACCTCTTGTCCAGCTCCTGAGGCCAGCAGGCAAGTCTGTTGGGAGTGGGAATGTCCCGGCCCTCTGGCGACAGGCCCTGACCTATGTAAGCAGTGGCCCATCACCAGGGCCTAATAAGGGATGGGCCAGTGTGTGTGTGGGGGGGTTATAACAGGGTCTCCCTAGCCTCGAATAATAACCAGTCCTTACTTAGTTATATCAGCTTCGGATTGGTGCTGTGACAAATTACCACAAACTTAGTGGCTTGAAGCAACACAAATTACCTTACAGTTCTAGAGGTCAGAAGTCCAAAATGGGTCTCCCTTGGCTACAGTACAGTGTCAGCAGGGCAGTGTTTCTTCTGGAGGGTTTGGGGAAAATCCGTTTCCTTTCATTGTCCAGCTTCTAGAGACTGCCCACATTCCTTGACACAAGGCCTTATCCATCTTCAAAGTCAGCAATGGCTGGTCAAGCCTTCTCACATCATGTCCCTCCTGCCTCTCTCTTTCACACTGAAGAACTCTTTTGATTACATTGGGCCCACCCTGATAAGCCAATGAGGGTAATCACAGATGACTGCTAATGTCAAATTATGAGCAGCCTAATTCCTCCTTGACATGTAAGGTAAGCATAGATTCAAAGCTTCCAGAGATTAGGATGTGTATATATTTGGGAGCCACTGTTCTGCCAACCACATCTGGCTTGGCCTTTTTTATTTTTAGCTTTTCACTAGAGTGTAACATAAATGGGAACGGTGCCCATGTCACACCTTTAGGCCAGTTCGGTGTCAGGGTGGGGACACCGAAGCCATGGCTGTGCAGAGAGGGCCAAAATGAAGGAGGAGGACGAGCAAATGTATCTGTTTGTTCATTCAGCGTGCCCATTGAGCTCTGCTCTGGGCTGGCAGTACTCCAGGCCCAGGGCATCTGTCAGCAGTTTCCCTGGATTCTAACTCTCTCCTCAGCACCGTCTCCCACCCTCATTCTCTGTGCTCCCCCTGAAAACCCCTACACCAAGTCCCCCACCCCTGGTTATTCTCTGTGCTTCTCCTCCCTCTCCTGTTCCTTCTCTGATTTGCAAAACTCTATTTTTTTTAATGGACAAAGCCACCTGTGCCTTGGACCTTTCAAAACCATCAGTTTTATTCTTTCATCCACCCACCCAGCCACCACAAACTCTTCCCCCAGAACTGGGATTAAGGGACATTTCCATTTTTCTGTTTCTTTTAGACTTTGAAACTAGACAAACCAAACTATCAACTGTGAAGCAAGACATAACTGAAGAAATACCCAATAATGCTCTGGTAGAAAGGTTCCTGTGGGAAAGTCTGTGGAACTCCAAGGGTGAAAATGCTGAGGGCCACTGGGAACAGGGTCGCAAGAGGCCAGATAGCCATGTGGTGCAGTCTGCCTTCATGCCTGTGAAGACACCCACTCAGGAGAAGCAGCAGGGGAATGGGTTTGGGGAAAACTTGAGTCTGAGGCCTGATCTCTCAACTCGACCAATGATTCCTAAAAGGCAAGGCCCCCCCGTGTGGGGAACACATGGAAAGAGGGAGGATCTGGACTCAGATACTCAACAGAAAACCTGTGCAAAAGAGAAGCCCTACAGATGTCAGGAATGTGGAAAGGCCTTTAGTCACAGCTCAGCACTCATCGAACACCACCGAACACACACGGGAGAGAGACCTTACGAATGTCACGAATGTGGAAAAGGCTTCCGAAACAGCTCAGCGCTTACCAAACACCAGAGAATCCACACTGGTGAGAAGCCTTATAAGTGCACTCAGTGCGGGAGGACCTTCAACCAAATTGCCCCACTGATCCAGCACCAGAGAACTCATACAGGTGAGAAGCCCTACGAGTGCAGTGAATGTGGGAAATCCTTTAGTTTTAGGTCCTCCTTCAGCCAACATGAGCGGACGCACACAGGTGAGAAGCCCTACACATGCAGTCAGTGCGGGAAGGCCTTCCGGCAGAGCATCCACCTCACCCAGCACCTCCGAATCCACACCGGGGAGAAGCCCTACCAGTGTGGAGAATGCGGCAAGGCCTTCAGCCACAGCTCGTCCCTGACCAAACACCAGCGGATCCACACGGGGGAGAAGCCCTACGAGTGCCAGGCATGTGGAAAAGCCTTCACCCAGATCACACCACTGATTCAGCATCAGAGGACACACACAGGCGAGCGGCCCTACGAGTGCAGTGAGTGCGGGAAGGCCTTCAGCCAGAGCACACTCCTGACTGAGCATCGGAGGATCCACACAGGAGAGAAGCCCTACGGGTGCAACGAGTGTGGGAAAACCTTCAGTCACAGCTCGTCGCTTAGCCAGCATGAGCGGACACACACGGGTGAGAAGCCCTACTCGTGCAGTCAGTGCGGGAAGGCCTTCCGGCAGAGCACACACCTCACTCAGCACCAGAGAATCCACACCGGGGAGAAGCCCTATGAATGTAGTGAGTGCGGGAAGGCCTTCAGCCACAGCTCGTCCCTGACCAAACACCAGCGGATCCACACCGGGGAGAAGCCCTATGAGTGTAACGAGTGTGGCAGAGCCTTCAGCCAGCTTGCGCCACTCATTCAACACCAGAGGATCCACACGGGAGAGAAGCCCTATGAGTGTAATGAGTGTGGCAGGGCCTTCAGCCAGAGCTCCCTCCTCATAGAACACCAGAGGATTCACACCAAGGAGAAACCCTATGGGTGCAACGAATGTGGAAAATCCTTCAGCCACAGCTCATCGCTCAGCCAGCACGAGAGGACACACACTGGGGAAAAGCCCTACGAGTGCCAGGATTGTGGAAAATCCTTCAGGCAGAGCACCCACCTCACTCAGCACCGGAGGATCCACACAGGAGAGAAGCCATATGAGTGCAGGGACTGCGGGAAAGCCTTCACACACAGCTCCTCCCTTACCAAGCACCAGAGAACTCATGCTGGGTAGACCCACTCCACATGTTCTGGGACACAGCAAAGCCTTAAGCTATAGCGCATTGCTTACTAGATTTGACCCAGTCATACTCCTGAGAAACAACACAAACGTTATACACAAGGCTTCATGCTCAGCAAACTCCTTACACCCCCACAGAGAGTTCATATTTATGGAAATGATTGTGGGAATACCTAGCTCTGGGTCATCCATCCCGGGATATCAGATCATCCAGACAGTAGGGAAGTGTGGAGTTAATCACTGTTGAGGACTTTCAGCCATGAGTGGCCACTAATGCTTCATTATAGAACCTACAAAAGAGAAATGGAAAAAAATGTGGATCTGGGGTGGCTTCTAAGGATTCACCATATTCCAAACCAGAGATTTTCAAAGTGGTGACAAACTCAGCGAATGCCTTTCATATAAAAGAACCAAACGCAGTCAGAATTTATCATTATTGTACATTACATCCTTGGCAGGGGTTGCTTATGAATGGTGCAACTTGACTCTGATATTCCCTAAAAACAATATGGCAGAGTGTTCCAGACATGAGAGTGGCACTTTATGGAATCACCATGAATATTCAGCTGTCTCAGTACAAAATTTTCTGATTTGTGTAAATTCTTTGGTCAAGGTACATGGCCACCAGCCTCACAGATGTGAATGCCATGTGACAAAGTATCCATGTACTATAAACAGATTTTAAAGTAGTTATATGCATTATATTGCAATAAGTTAATCTTTATATGCAATGGAATTGAAAAGATTTGTATAGGAAGACTTGAAAGGTAAAGCCACTTCCATGGAGTCTTGCAGATTCTGAGATGGCTTTTGCTGCTCTGTTCTTGCTATAAATTTTTCTACAGGACTCACAGGCATTAGAAATGCAGATGTTGCTGTTTCACAAAAAGAGGAAGATTTTTTCTTTGTTAAGCCACCATCTTATGAGCAAGAGCACACCCACGTTGGAACCTTATGTTTTGCAAGATTTATCTCTTGAGAAATGTACAAGTTAATCTTTTGAACTGTTGTTTTTTCATTGATTCTTTATCCTGGTGTTTAATAAGCTTTTGTTTTTATAAAATTTAACTTGAAGGCAGTCTATAGTATTTCACTGAACCCTGAATCCACTAACAGCAGTCACCCTGACAACCGTGATCCTTAAACAGTGACTTGTCACCCTCACTAGAACCCATATGTAAATTGCATTGGCTGGTTTTTGTCACTAACCATCAGTTAGGGTTCTAACAATCAGTTTGACTTTCTAATCACAGTGCTAGGATATAAGCTTCCAGTTAACTTGAAATTTCTCCCTTGGGGAAACCATGTTGCAAATAGTCTTCCAATACTGTTCCTCAGTATGCTTGTGGAATGCCTCCTCTTTTTTGGACTTAATTTCAGTCATTTAAAAACCATGTGAGAAAATCATGGCTTGCCGCGCCGCTCCCCGCTCGCAGCCCCGTGCCTCGCTCCTCTCTGAACATGGTAAAAATATCCAGCCCTACAGAGACTGAACGGTGCATTGAGTTTCTGATTGCTGTTTTCCAAAAGCATGCTGGAAGAGACGGTAACAACAGCAAACTCTCCAAGGCCGAGTTCCTTATCTTCATGAATACAGAGCTGGGTGCCTTCACAAAGAACCAGAAGGACCCTAGTGTCCTTGACTGCATGATGAAGAAACTGGACCTCGACTCTGATGGGCAGCTAGATTTCCAAGAATTTCTTAATCGCATTGGCGGCCTGGCCGTAGCTTGCCATGACTCCTTTATTAAGTCTACCTCTTCCTAGAAGTAAATCAGAGGAGCCTTTGGGCCTGGCCTGCAGCCCCACTCCCTTTCCTTCAGCCTCCCAATTATCATCTACCCCTCACAGCCCACACATACCCTGAGCCAGGCACACCCACCACCCCATGCAGGCCACTTCTGCTGGTAGTAATAAAACAATATGGTTTTTTAAAGCACACACTGGAGAGTCAGTAAATGTGTGCAAGGGAGGGAGATGACTGGGAGGAATATAAATTAGATTGATGGAAACAGTAACCAGAAGTTGCAAAGTAAATAGTAAAAATGCATCTTGGGTGTATACATAATCATGACTAATGATACCAACATAATCATCTCTAAATTATTCAAACTGATGGAGAGACGTCACTTATTGTTCACTCATTAAATGTCTATACACACCTACTACAGGCACTGTCATACACTCTGAGGATACAGCAAGACAGACAAGGTCCTGCCTTCACTGAGGTTACCTTCTAGTGTGTGTGGGGGAAACAATAAGTGAATAAAGAACTATGAGAGTGAAAAAAAAAACACTTAAGAAAATCAGTAAGTAGTGCATAGCAGCACTCTCCAATAGACACAACGTGTAAGCCCCATCGGTAAATTTTAAATATATTGTAATAGTCCCATTTAAAAAGAAGAAACAGGTGAAATTAATTTACTATTTGTCCCTATATATCCCAAATGTTACCACTTTGACATGTTGTTTATATAAAAAAATCACAATTGAGATATTTTGCTTTCTTTTTATACTATGTCTTTGAAATCCAGCGTGTGTTTTACATTTACAGTACATTTTAATTTGCTGTAGCCACATTTCAAGTGCTCATGTGCCACATGTAGCCAGCGAGTGGCTGTACAGGACAAGGCAGCTCAATAGCCTTGGTCCTTTGGTCAGGTGTTCTGTCCTCCCTCCCTTTATTACATGTATCCTCTTCCCTTTCCCTGTGCTTCTATCCTTGTGTAGCTTCTTGTCCTCAAGGAAATTAGATGTGCTGGGAAGAGCAGCATCAAAGTCAGAATAGAGAGAAGGAGACAAGGTGAAGATTGGCCAGAGATAATAACACCTGCATTATTGTGTGGTGGATTGGGAGGTGGGAGGGGTCTCACATTAGGAGCCTCTGCACTTGTGGTTTGTTGGCTTTTTCAGAGAGGCTTGCACTGATGCCTTGGTGTACACCTGTTTTATGACTTACTGCTGTCCTTAGGTTTTTTGGTGCTCATGTTGTCCCAGATGTGGCCAATAATAGTCCCTTCAGGAAAGTTCCTGCCATCCCTGTGACATGCCTTCATCATTTTCAGTATAAGATGTTATAAACTCATCTTGTTTCTACCCTGAAATCAGCCCCGAAATCAGCCATATTTCTGCAGGTCCAAAGAACTGGTTCATATTAGTAGGGGATGCTATTCAGGACCAAATCTGAGTGCCAGGTGTGCTCACTGCTACTAGGTTGTCTACTGCTGAGCTAGGAAATAAAGGCGCATGTATAAACACTTACATAGATACACACAAAAAGGTATATGGGTGCATATACATACACAGAAATACCTCCCATTCCAATCTGTGACTCCCCATATTTTTATGTCCCTCTTCAATAGCGAGAATGCTAAGACCCCTAAAATAAACATACTAATTTGCTGAATTCTAAAATACTTGTAAAATAGTTTCAGAGTTGCTTTTCTTAAACCACTACAAAAACAAACCTAATAAAAGAAATTTAGAATTTGTTTGCTGTTCTTCTTCCATCACCACCCTGCCCAACATATGGTAAAGCACACAAATGGATGATTTATTCTACAGAGAGACAAAAATATCGCCAGATGTCCCCACTTGTTAACCTCAGGGTAAGCTGGGTTGGGTCAGGCATTAGGGAAAATGGGTCTGTGCTTAACTCCCATCCAAAGGTGCAGGGATATGAACCATTGAGAAGAAACTTGGTAAGAACCTGGGAAGGATTAGATTTATCTGTCCCAGAGTCTCCCTCTCAGAGCAGTCTCCACTACAGGAAGCCAGAACCTCCTACTGCAGAAGCCACGCCCGTTTCCCTACACTTCTGGGAAGCCTGGGAGGGTTGCCCTAAGAAATGCCTCAGTTTGTGTGTGGCCTCTCAGGAGCCCAACTCTCAAGAGACAGTTTTTGTCGGCCAGAGGCTGGAGCTGGAGAGCTGGTTGTTTCACTGAGACTTCTGGAAACTGTCCTTTCTATAAACTCACGTGCTCACTGGTTGAGAGAGGCCTGAGTTACATTATGTTTTGAGGATCGGGTTTCATGGATTGGCCATGAAGTAAATGAAGCTGAAACTCCAAGGTCCTTCACTCTATTGCACCCCTTCCAAAGCCTAACACCTCATTTTATCTTAGTAATTTTTAATTCTTCCTCCCAAAGAGGGACTTCTCAGTCGTGTGAACGACAGGCCCAATGAATCTGGACTGATCCCTCACTCAGGATACTCAAGAAACACACACACATTTATAATGAAGATGCTCACAAATTTTATATATGCACTGAACACATACATACCAAATCTTGTACACAGAAAAATGACTGGAAGGACGGATACTGAGATGTCAAAAGTTCCTATGAGCTGGAAACATGAGAAAAAAATTTTTTCTCCTTCATTTCTTTTTTTTTTTTTTTTTTTTCAGTTTTCCATGATTGGGAGAATTTTTTTCAAAATGGTGAAAAATGAATTTTATTGAAGTGCTGTAAATAAAGAATTTCCAAGGGAATTCAAAAAGCAAAAACAGGGCTTCCCTGGTGGCGCAGTGGTTGAGAATCTGCCTGCCAAAGCAGGGGACACGGGTTCGAGCCCTGGTTCGGGAAGATCCCACATGCCGCGGAGCAACTAGGCCCGTGAGCCACAACTACTGAGCCTGTGCGTCTGGAGCCTGTGCTCCGCAACAAGAGAGGCCGTGATAGTGAGAGGCCCCTGCACCGCGATGAAGAGTGGCCCCCGCTCGCCGCAACTAGAGAAAGCCCTCGCACAGAAGCGAAGACCCAACACAGCCATAAATAAATAAATTAAAAAAAAAAAAAAAAAAGCAAAAACAAATGCAGCCAAAATTCCACCATGTTTTATAGTTACAATGTAACAAATATTTGTATTCTACTTCTTGAGCTACACTTAGAAACTTTTCTTCCATGTTGCTACAGTCTTCTTAATTATCATTATGCTTCATTATTCTTTGAATGGCTCTACCAAAATTTCAGTCATCATTCCTCTGTAATTGGGTATTTAACTCCATGTAAATAGGCGTCCTAGTCACTTGTATGTATTTTACTTGTAGTATTCCACCTAGATCCAGAAAGGATTTCAGCCTCTCAATGTACGTAGCTTTCTCCTTTTTTTCCCCACTAATTCTCTAGGAAAAATCACCACACCTGAAATTGAAAGTTCAAGGAACACAAATGTCAAAGTAGTTCTTAAGCAACTGGGCTGATTGTGTTCCAGATAGTTGCACTGGTTGACACTGATTTACAAAACCTATCAACCCAAATAATAACGGGGGTCATGTATTAGTCTGCTCGGGCTACCATGAGAAACAAAAAACAAAACACACTGGGCTTCCCTGGTGGCGCAGTAGTTGAGAGTCCGCCTGCTGATGCAGGGAACACGGGTTCGTGTCCCGGTCCGGGATGATCCCACATGCCGCGGAGCAGCTGGGCCCGTGAGCCATGGCTGCTGAGCCTGCACGTCCGGAGCCCTGTGCTCCGCAACGGGAGAGGCCACAACAGTGAGAGGCCCGCGTACCACAAAAAACGAAACAAAACAAAACACACAGGCTAGGTGGCTTAAAACAGCACAAATTTATTTTCTCACAGCTATGGAGGCTGGAACTCCAATATCAAGGTGCTGTCAGGGTTGGTTTCTGGTGAGACCTTTCTTCCTAGCTTCCTCTGTGCACACTTGGCAAGAGAGAGCAATCTCTGCTCTTTCTTTTTATAAGGACACCAGTCCCATGGGATTAGGGCCCCACCTGTATGACCTCATTTAACCTTAATTATCTCCCCAAGGCCCTATCTCTAAATTAGGGGTTAGGGCTTCCACATATGAGCTGGGGGCAGGGGGAAGGAGGGAAGGCGGGCAAGGTGGCACACAACTCAGTCCATTAGATAAGGTATTTAAGCATCTCCTTCCCGTTGGAACTCATTCCCATCTTGCCAGGTTTCCATTTATGTGGTTTACCTTCCCCCTATCCCTATGAACACAGCTACCCTCTGACACTCCGTGTGAACCCACTAACACTCAAGCAGAAGCAACCACCACAAGACTGTGATGTGAGTGAGGAAATAAATCCTTTATTATGTTAAGCCCCCGTGATTCGGGCACCATCACAACAGACTGCCTGCCCAAACACAGTGACAGAAAGAGGCACCAGTTTCTCTATCCACAGAAAGCAGTCAAATTTATGCTCAGGCAATGAAAACAATGCTGCAATCTGAGATTAAATGCAAAACTCAAAGATCGCCTTACGTAGCCCAAGGAGTTAAGTTCCCCTTGCCCACGCAGGCAGATCTCATCAACCTTTATTGGTGTTTTCAACTGGTTTTGATCACAGTCACCCCCACTCCCTGCCTAGTAAGATATACATTTTACATTGCAACCAGTTCTCATATTTAGATGTATGGCTGAAAAGTTTCACAAAACAATATTTGCCTTTTCTACATTATGAATTTTGACCTATTTTATTCTATTTCATTGCTCTGTAATGCCGGTGGCCACCCACTAATTTGATTTTTCAACTCACTAATGGGATGAGACATAGTTTGAAAACACTGCAATTACTAGGCTCCGAGTGTTTTTGTGATCTTTGTAAGCCACTCCATACCCATGTGAGTTAAACTGGAGAACGGCACGCTACTGAGGACTCAGAAGTAAACCTGCCATCACATATTTACGAGAAAAACAAAACAGCAGGCAAGATTTCTGCTTGAACAGCAGCCCTGGGAAGTTCTAACAAGAGGAACAGACAAGACTGACTTCAAGAAAGAGTTGGCAATCACACACTTTAAGGCAACTCGTACACTTTGCAAAGACCAATGTTCCAATGTGTGGGTGGTGCTGAAATGGTCAGAGAAGAAAGCAGAGTCTTCTTTCACTCCTGGCGGCTTGTGCTCACAGGTAGGCATCTTTACAGCTGTGTTTGCAAGGTGAGGGCTTCATGTGGGCCCTTCCT